GGGGGCGGGGACAGGGGTGGTTTGGTCTGTGACTTGGAGGGTGAGAAAGAAGAAAGGGAAGCTGAGGCCAGGAGTGAGGGACTCCCGGCAAGCAGAGGGCCATGGGCGGTATCTTCCATGTGTCTCTCTGCACTTCAATCCCAATACGACTAATGCAGGGAGAGGACACACTGCCCTCTTTTTAATATCCTTCCTTTTCATTAAAAGACACTTAATTGCCTCAAAGCATGCCCACAGCCTCGATGTCGCTGAGTTTCGCCACAGCCTGATGAGGTAGCAAGTCTCCCGCTGCTCTCAGCATCCAAGCCCAGCGCCAGAGCCTGGCCTACAAGGCCCTCCCCTGTCCACCCACCCACCTTGTCTCCTGCCACTTTTTCTTCACCCACAAGGTTCCAGGGACCACATCTTCTCTCCATTCCTCAAATGCCCCAAGCCCTTTTCCACACCAAGCTCTTCACACACGCTGTTCCTTCTGCCTGGACAGCGGTTCCTCCCCCTTCCTGCCTCCTTGACTCCCAGGATCCTTCAGGTCCCAGCCTACAGGTCAGACCCTCCCAACGCCTTCCTGGTCCCCTTGGCCACCCAATGTATATGCTTGCTCTCCAGATACCCTGTCTTTTTAACCTCGATTTTCAATCGTGAGGTCACTTTTGGACTGATGCTCCGAATGGGCACCAGCGTGGAAGGTCCGTGAGGGCAAGATCGACATTTGCTGTGGCCCACAGCCCACCCAGGGTCTGGTCTGCTGCCTGACTCACGACCAGCACTAAATAAATACTCATTCAGTGACTGAGTGACTGATGTTAAGGCAGCCAGCCGGGCACAGCAGAGCCAGCCAAGAGCCCAGACTCCTTGTCACCCCATCTCTGCTCTTCCATGACCTTCAGCATCACTCGATTTCATTTCCCAGGTCCTCTCAGGGCAGGTGGCTTATGCAGGGGAAAGCATCAGGTGGCCCCGATCAAACCCCAGCATGACTCGTGCTGTCTTTGGGCAGAGAACTTCTCTGTGATGGCGTTAGCTTCTTCATCTATAAGATGAGGGGTCTGCTGTTTCCTGTCAGGGAAGCGTGAGGGTTGAGTGAGGGAGGGGCGTGAGGCCTGAGTTCAGACAGAGCCATGACGACGCTGCAGGGGTGGAAGACTGTTGGACGAAGCGTGTGAACAGAGAGAGAGCAACCTGAGGGACTGAAAGCATTCACTTTGGAAATGGACAGAGCCATGTTCAAGTCCAGGCTCTGTCGATTACAAGCCAGATGACCTTGAGCCAATGACCTTGGACCTTCAAGCCTCAGTTTTCCCAGCAGTAAAATGGGATAATAAAGGGAACCCCTCCACGGGTTCTGGTTCAGACTGAGAGCTGGATAAGCATGAGCTGTCTCTGCCCTCCATCCGTGAACGTCAGCGCCTAGCACAGCATGTCACAGGCTGTTGCTACACGTGAGCTGATGGCTTGAGAGGTGGGGCCGGCAGGAAGGTCCTCCAGTTCTGTGTGGTAGAGAGAAGGAGAGAGGTCATTCTAGCCTCTTCTCCCTTCGAGATCCAGGAGAAGCAAAGAGAGGGGGAGGGGAAGAGTCTGGGAGCAAATGACAAGAGATTAAGCAGCAAGGAGACCGAGGGAGGTGGCGGGGCAGTGATGGGGCTGCCTGGGAGGGTTTAGGGAAATGACAGAACTACTGAGCTGTAAGCAGTTACCAGGGGTGATGAGGGCCACTTGTGGACCGTCCCTGACCTGGGAGGCCATGCCAGGGGACACGGCCCTCTCCCCAGTGCCTCTGGATGCCCCACTGGATCCGGAAAGCTAGGATGCAGGAGTGACATGATTTGCTTCCCCCCTCTCACCCCTTCCTGGGACTTTTATTTTTAAATTTTATTTATTGATTTTAGAGAGGAAAGGAGAGAGGGAGAGAGGGAAGAGACTTGTTCCACTTATTTATGCATCATTGGTTGATTATTGTATGTGCCCTGACTGGGGATCAAACCTGCAACCCTGGCACGTCAGGACAACGCTCTAACCAACTGAGCTCCCCTCCCGAAGCCTGGAACATTTATTAAGGATGCCCCGGGGCCAGGCCCTGTGCCAGGTGCAGGAATTGTGGAAAGGTTGCGCATCAGTGTGTGGGGGCAGGGGCAGCATGGAAATGTTTCTGTGTTCCTGCCCCCTACCCAGTGCTTAGCATCGGGGAAGGAGGCTTCTGGGAAGGCCAGGTCAAAGGTCGAGTTGGCTGGTTCCCCTCAGACTGCCTGGAAGAGGTGGCAAACCGCTCCCAGGAGGGAAAGCAAGGTAATGGAAGTCCGGACTGTCTCCTATTTACCCTAGGGTGCTTACTCAGGTCCTTTCCTGCCCCCTCCCATGGGGGTGGGGCGCTGGGAGGACTGTGGGAAAGCCTGGGCAGGGAGCACTGTGGGTGGGCATGTGGTTTCCAGAGTGAGGGCCCAAGGTCATCCCTTGTCCCTCTGCAGAAAGCCGCAGTGACAAGGCAAAGAGACTCTTCCGGCATTATACCGTGGGCTCCTACGACAGCTTTGATGCCCCAAGGTAAATGTCCTTACACCCTCGGGTGCCCCCCACCTCCCTTCATGCCACACCTTTTAAATATTTCCACTGTCTTTAAGCCCTGTTTATCATCTCCCTCTAAAGTTTGATCCAGGGGTGGGGGGGAGAATTAGCTTCCAACTGTACACCCAATCCCCAACCTGCCTTGGCAGCCACTGAGACTGCTCAGCTCTGGGGTAGCCAGAAACCAACGAGGTGAACGCGGCTGGGTGGGGGCAATGCCTGGGGGCCCTGTATCTCGTGTGTGTGGCTGGCTGGAGGCCCTGGTCTCCGTCCTGTGCCCCATCTCTGTGCGGTCATGTGCAGCAGAAGTGTGTGCATCCCTGCCTCGCACTGGGCGTGGGCGGAGCTGGGCCAGGCGGGGTGGGGGTGGGGAGAGGGGCACACTGACACCTTTCCCCTCCCTGGCTGCTGGCTGACTTGCTTCTGAAGCTTGATGGATGGGATTGGCCCAGGGAGGTGAGAGGGGAGGGGAAGGGAGGGGACGGGTCAGGAATGGGAAGGAAGGGGTGCCTGGGGTGGAAGGATGTGTGCGTGTGCACGACCAGAGCTAAATTTCCCGTGTGTGAACGTCAGCACAGGCCAGTGCCCTTGTATGGTTTCCCCGAGTGTGTTCCTGCCCATGTGACCCTGTAGGTGAGCATGACACGTGTCTATAAGCATGTGTGACTGGAGGCCCTAGATGTACAGCCCTGTGCATATCTGATGGCAAGAGGGCCTATCCCGCTCGTAGAGATGGGTGCATTGGTGGCTGTCACTTATGGCTGCACGATTGTCGCTAATTGTGCAGCTGGCTCTGCACATCTATGTTTCCCTGAATCTGTCTGTCTGAGAACGAGGGCAAGTGTTTCTAGAGATGGTGGTGTGTCTGCTTACCGCGTGTGGACAGGTGGGTCTCTGCACACGTCTGCCCCTCCCTCTGCATGTCACTGTCCCTGCACATTAACACAGAAAGTCGTGTGCATGCATTTGCATCTGTCTGACTGATCTGCAATTCAGGACGCGGGGTGGCGGCGGAGGGGGCACAAGAGGGGAGGAGTCCAGGACTTGGGCAAGGCTGTGGGGGAGGGGTGGTCATAATTGGGCCTCAAAGATGACACCCTCCCCTGCTCCTCTCCCCATCCAGGGAAGGGCCTCCTTGTTCGTAGCATCCTTCCATTAAATGTGTGCAAACCTACGTGTCTGTGTTCTGGCCAGTGGGGATGGGTTGGGGTGGGGAGGAAGAGAAATGACAATGTGGGAGAGAGGGTGGAGCTGGGGTGCCACCCTGCGCCCCAAGTGTCTGAGGCGCTTGACCATTGTGCGTGTTTGCCTGGCACGTCTCCGGCTCTGGGCACCGGGTGAGTATGGAGGTCCTCCCCACCCCGAGCGTCCCCATCAGCTTCTGCTTCTTGCCTCTGTCCGTGTCTCTCTGGGCCTCTCTTTGGCCTTGGTCTGGGGGTCACTTGCTCTACCGGCTGGATGCGGGTGGTGCCTCTGGCCTTCAACTCTGTCCTGTCAAGTGCATAGCCTCTCCTCTTGTCCACTTCTCGTGCCCACTGGAATGCGCTGCGGGGCGTGTGGTGTGTCCGACCCTCTCCTGCCTCCTCCTGCCCTGCCCTGCCCTGCCCTGCCCGACCCTTTCTGTGGCAGCCTGTCCTGTCCTGTCCTGTCCTGTCGTGCGCCTCGCATCCCTGTTGGAGCTGGCAGGCTTGCCAAGTGTCGCCCCTCCCCGCCTGGGCACCCTCTCTCCTCTCCTGCGGGTCTCCAGTGAGGTGCAGTGTGTGTCTGTCCCTCTGTCTGGGATTCTTTGGGGGCAGGGGCGTCTCTCCCTGCCTTGGGGCCCAGTCTGAATGTCCTTCCGTTCCCGGCCCTCCCAGGTTGTGTTGGGGTGCTTTGTATGTCGGTCTGTGGTGGAGGCTGTGGGACCCCGCACCGTGGCGTCCCTGTCCTGGGAGCGGGGCTCGGCCCGCGCGTCCCCGCACGGGTTTCGAGGCGTCTCGCGTGGCGGTGCGCGTCCCTCTCCCGCTCTCCCTCGCTCTGCACCTGCGCGGGAGGGCTCCGGAGGGGGGAGGGGGTTAAGGGG